CTGGCTAGTGAAGCGGGGCTGAAGGTAATAGCATTTGCTGATGCAGACTGGGGTGGTGATGCAAGTGATCGCAGGTCCGTTTCTGGTTACACGGTGTTCCTCGGACAGTGTCCTGTGGTTTGGAGCTCGAGGAAGCAAAAGACGGTGTCTAGATCGACTATGGAAGCTGAGTATCGCAGCGTAGCAGACACAGCAGCAGAAGTAACTTGGATTAATGCGTTACTTGGCAGTCTTGGGACCAAGCCACGTGAAGAACCGATTATCTAGTGTGATAATACAAGTGCCATAGCTATGAGCATGAATCCGGTCTATCATGCACATTCGAAGCATGTGGACATGGATGTCCATTTCATTAGGGAGAAGGTAGCTGCCAAAGCGTTGCGTGTCTGCTATGTGCCAGCCAACTGCCAGGTAGCTGATGGTCTCACTAAACCGCTGACTAAAGCGGCGTTCGAAGTCTTCAGAAACAAGATGTGTGTACTGCCTTGTTGAAGAAGGGAGAAGAAGCAGAGGGAATAATGAAACAATTAAGCTGTTAAGAATTGGTTAGGTGGTTAGAGTTGTTATCAGTTAGTTAAGATTGTTAGCTAGCTAAGCCACTGTTCGTGAAAAGCTCTATGAGCAGCTATAAAAACAATGTACACAGTTACTTTGATAAAAAAAATAAGAAAAGTTTCTGTAAATTGATAGTTCTAAAGTCAGTATATCAAGAGGTGGCATTAGCCTTAAGCTTGACTCCTTTATTTCGAATCACATAGGGAGTAGATCCATCTTTTGAAGCAGTAGAACGGCCTGGGGTGGGCTGTTTGCTATGGTTAGAGAGGTGTAAACCATTACCCTGGTTGGCTCCATTAAACACAACCACTATGCGGGAAGTAGAGTCTAAAGTAGTAACAACCTTTTGCCCATCAACACCCAAAGAATTATCAAAATTTGGATTAGTGTTTGAGGTAAATTTGGTTCCATTAACCGTTACCAATTCGACTGGCGTTGATGCTTCTAATTGCATCACATCTTGTTATAAGTTGACATTTCCTTTGCATGGAAACCGTCACGTAGTCTTGGGATTTCTTAGAGGGTCTCACATTCTTAGTCAAGGATGAAATGCTACTCTTGGGGTCCACCACGTGAGGTGGGTTCTTCAAACTTGATGCAACATTTTTCTATATTTTCGTATGGGTAGAAGTCGTTGGTCGTGATTACCTATAATAGAGATTTCGTGGTTATTAGGCAAGTTATTGAATTTAGCTTTAGAGAAGTTAGATTTGGAAATAATCTGAGTAGTAAGTTTGGAAACAATCATGGTGACTGATTGTGTATCTGTTCGAGTATGCTTCTGATTTTCTTTTTCTAAATGTTGATTCTTCTCATTTTTTTCCTTAAAGAATCAATCAGAACCCCAAATCTCGATCTTGAGTTCTTAGTTGCCTTAGAAAGCTTCAAAATTTTAGCATTGTCCGTTTGGGTCCGACGCCGTCATTTCTCAACAACCATGCAGGGGCCACATTGTTCGTTCTCCAGTCAAGAACTGGCGTTAGGGACTGTAGCGTCAGGCGGAAGAATGTTCTTAGTCGTTAACTCACTTGGGAAGGAATGGAAGGGTTGGTATGACTCAGACTATGCTTATCATTCTCATGTAGATGAGAATCCTGAGGGCATCCATCCTTAAGATGTCCAAAATCTATCGCAGGAAAAACAGACCTGAGGCAAGTTTTCATACTCGAATGTTTGGATTTTGTCTTCGACCAGCACTCGAGAGATTAGAGGCTTCTTGAGGTCAACATAAACGACAATTCTATCGAATCTTCTCGTGTTGCTGGTGGCATTATAAAAGTCGAGTTTGGTCACCTTTCCGACCAAATTTCCAATGCCATATAGTATTTTCTTCTTATACATGTATTCTAGTAGGCCAGGAAACCAAGTGATCACAGTCATAGGATATTACTCTGATGTTTTGAAATCCAACGTCCATGGTTGAACCGTTAAATATTGGCCATAAACCATCTAAAGACCCTCGGTAAGGACTTTCCCGTAGTCTTCATCGTTTTGAAATTTGGTCAGGAAGTATCCATTCTTCATATCCATCTGGGTAAATGGTTGAGAAGGTTTCCAAATAGCGAATGTCTTGTTAGTAAGCACATTAAGACCAATGTTCCGACCAAGAAGGTTAAGAACCACCGTTCGGGCCATATTACCTTCCATGAGTTTGTATGCAGGGTCTGAAAATTGAATCGATGGAAGGTCGAATCGAGTGCCAGTGATGAAATCTTAGTCTGAGATATCAATGTCCTCATCCTCATCGCCAAGATTCACTTTTGGACTAAAAACCCTACCACCATTGCCTGCTAATACTGATGCATAGGATGGAGATAAATCCTCTTGCTTCACATCCTTTGATTTGAACTGCCCCCTCCATGCGACCCAAACCCAAACCCGTTTCTACGTATGCTGCATTGTCTGAAGAAAGATCCTTGAAACAAACATTTTTTGTGGCATTAGAATTAGGAGGAAGTTGCCAAGAGGCCGTCAGATAAATACTAGCGTTGAGAGAATTTTTCATCTTCTTTTTTAACTATTATTGTGATTTAAACGATAAGAATAATAAAAGTTATTATATTATTTACAGACATTAATAATTGTACGTCTTTGCAGATTACATACACAACATTTATTATATTATTTAAGACATTGCATGGGCTGGTATAACATCAAATGTGAGAAACTAATTTATTTAATTTAACGGAGTTTACGGTTTAACAACGGAAAATTGTCCTCTTTTAACAGTTATGATTATTTTGTAACTTTTTTTTGATTGAGAAACGTAAAAATAAAGTGTCCCATAATTATGGACCAATAAGATAGCTTATCCAACATAAATACTTTATCTCGATACATAAAATATTTTTTTGTCAAAATAAATATCTAAATTATATCATATTTATCATCCAGGTATTTAAAGTGTTTGTCTGGGTCAAAGTAGCTATTTAAAATATATTACCTTTTTCATTAGGTATCTAAAATATTTCTAAATTAATGTCATATGAACTTTTACAAATCTAGATGAAAAAGATAATATATTTTAGGTACCTGTTTAAATTTTATGTATCTAAATAAAAAACTGATAATTTTATATATTTATTTTGATAAAAATTATATTAAATAAAAAAATAATATAACTTTAGGTACTATTTTGAATTAAGCCTAATTGGCATGGTTTTAGAACCGGACCGGTTAGCGAACCGGCCATGCTATCGGTTTATTGGTTCAACCGTTCGAATCGGTCCGACCGGTCGGATGAACCGGATGACGTCATAATTATTTAAAAAATTAAATAAAAATATCAAAAATATTTAATAAAAAATAATTTTTTATATCACAAGTCATATTCAAAGCAAATCATAACATATATAAGTTAAAAACCATAAAATCAAGTGAAACAAAATGATTCAAATTAACTACAACATAATATTTAAGGTAAAACATATTAAATAATAAATATAATTATATAACTATAATTAAAAAATAAATTTGGGGCTAAAAAAATCATAACATAATGATATTGTTTGGTTTAAATTTAAAAAAAAACAATCTCACATGGCTAAGAAACATAGAAGAACATCTCAACTAACTTTTATAAATAATAGAGGTAATTTAGCATTCAAAATCATGGAGCATTTTGGTGAGCATTGAGTGAACTATTTTTTCACTTTAATCAAGCTCGAATTTTAGGCTTCAATCGAGCTTCTAAATTTTTTTTAGTTCAAGCATTTTCGAGTTCAAGTTTCAATATTATATTTCGAGTTCGAGTTGAACTTGATAATTTTTATCTCGTGAGTTTGAGTCGAGTTGAGCTTACTTTTAAAGTTTTCAAGTTTGAGTTGAGCTCAGCAATACTCGAGTTCGACTTGGCTCGTTTAACAAACGACGTCGTTTGGTTTAATTTAAAAAAAAAACAAAATTGGCGGTTTTTTCCGGTTTTCAGCCGATCTGGTTCGAACGGTTCAACGGTTCCGGCCGGTTCACTAGCAACGATTTAACCGATGTAAATTAAACCGGACTAGGCAACGATTTCCGATTGAACCAACCGATCTAGTCCAGTTTTCAAAACAATGCTAATTGGAAAAAAAGGTATCCAAGGACCAAAGACGTCAAAAATGAACCTTACAAAACAGTTACACAAAAAGGGTAAAATACACTATTCCTAATTAAATTTTACTCACTATTATTTTATTCATTGTACTTTCATTTACTCATTAAACTTTCGAATTAATCTTGTTTTGATCACTCTTAATTATTTTATTATTATTTTTATATGACATGATATTTTTTATTATTATTTAATATAAAAATAATTTGAAATATAAAATAAAACAAAAGGTGGTTGGACACCACCGTCGATCTCGCTATAGGTGGTGGTCGTTCAGTTTCAAATTTTATGGGTCATTTCACCTCTACCCCTAAATCTGGTAGATGTTTCACCGAAAATATCTCAAAACCTGTGAATCTCTACTAAAATATTTTGGCTTCCTCACTTTTGATCTTCAAATTGTGGACTTTGGAGCAAGTTCTGATGGAGGTTGGATTTGGAATTAGGGTATCGAGATGAAACGACCCATGAAATTTGAGACCGAACGACCACCATCTACAGTAGTCAACGGTGACGTCTTACCTCCTATAAATTATTTTTATATTAAATAATAATAAAAAAATGTCATGTCATACGAAAATAATTTTAAAATAATCAAGAGTGATCAAAACATGAGCAATTCCAAAACTTAGTGAGTAAATTAGAAAAATGGAAAGTAAATTGAGTAAAATAGGAGAAATAGTTCAGTTTAGTGATTAATGGTGTAGTTTAACAAGAAAATGGCACTACAGAAATGGAGTGAGAGGAGATATGGGGTTCAACGCTATCCTATCCTGATATCCACGAAGATTGAAAATATATAATTAAATAGGAAAATCAGAACTTCAGCAACCACTTCACAAGACACAGTAGCCACCTAGCCATCTCTACGCCACTGGCCGGCGAGGGTAATAATCGGAGTAAGAGAAGAAGATTAAGCAATTCAGCCAAAGAGAATGGCGTACTCGGCGTTTCTAACTTCTCACATTCATTTCCATACTAGCACCAGATTCTTCTCTACATTCCCTCCAAAATTCCCCGCCAAACAGAAAGCAACCGTAATAACCGCCGCCATTCCCCCTTTGTCCACCGCTGCCTCCGTCACCGACCTGTCCGCTTTTGATAGTACCACCGTTGCTCTCATAGGTGGAGGCTCAATCGCCGCCTTAGCAGCAGTTCTCTCCGTAACTGACCCCGAACGTCGACGTCGTCTTCAGGCGGAAGAAGTCGGCGGAGGCGACAAAGAAGTCGTTAGGAACTACTTCAATAATTCCGGTTTCCAGAGGTGGAAGAAGATTTATGGAGAGACCGATGATGTGAATAAAGTCCAACTTGATATTAGGTTAGGGCACTCCAAGACAGTTGAAAATGTGATGAAAATGTTGACCGATGACGGCTCGTTGAAAGGGGTGACCGTTTGCGATGCTGGATGTGGGACCGGCTGTCTCGCTATCCCCTTAGCGAAAGAAGGGGCCGTTGTTTCGGCTAGCGATATTTCCGCCGCCATGGTGGCTGAGGCTGAGCAGCAGGTTAGTTAGATATTCCTCTTTACCTAACTACTATAACTGTTTTTCTGAAAGAAAAAAATGGTGGAAAGTTTTTACCTATTCACGAGTCTAGCCTTAGCATTGCTCAGATAATTGAATTTTAAGTTATGAATGCTTGGTGGATGATCCAATTACGTGTTTATCTCAACAAATAAATGAAATTTTTTACATTTCCTAGATTCAATTTTAGAGAACTGCAATTTGCTGATTGGGAATTGCAAGCCTGAATTGTGTGATAATATGATGCAGGCGAAAGAGCAATTAGCAGTTGGAAATGGCGATATTGTCCCGGTCATACCGAATTTCGAAGTGAAGGATTTAGAGAGTTTGGAAGGGAAATATGATACTGTGGTGTGTTTAGATGTTTTAATACATTATCCGCAGAGTAAAGCCGATGGGATGATTGCACACCTTGCTTCACTTGCTGAAAACAGATTAATTTTGAGTTTTGCCCCGAAGACATTTATTATGATCTCTTAAAGAGGATTGGGGAGTTGTTTCCAGGGCCATCTAAGGCGACAAGGGCATATCTTCATGCCGAGGCAGATGTGGAAAGGGCATTAAATAAGGTTGGGTGGAAAATAAGGAAGAGAGGGCTAATCACTACACAGTTCTACTTTGCAAGACTTGTCGAGGCTGTCCCTGCTTAGTCGGACTAGGAGAGGTTAGTTTTTATTTTTTCTGTGGCTTACTTATTCTGAATAGAAATGTCTGGATGTTTCTAAGTCTTGATTTTTTCCTGTATACTCGTTACTATTTATGTATGCTTATGTGCTTAAGTGTATATAAATTGTCCTTGTATCTAAATTCCGATGCTTGTTAACAAACTTTGTGGTCGGATTTAGTGACTAATGGCTCGTTTGATGATGTCTACGTGTATGCCTGAATGTTGCAACATAGTACCGAATTTCAATCAGGTTTTAAATGATCAATCATGGTTCATTTGACAACATAACACATCATGTCGGAATGCTTTGGTAAAATGTTTTCTTTTCTTTTTGCCCTTTTCCCTTGAGCTTGATGCATAGTTTTGTCAGTACAAGATGATGCGTTATTGTAAATTTCCCTTTCATTTTGTTGACTTGAGTGCAAGAAGATGTGTTAGAAAGTCTTAACAGGTTTCAAGGTTATCTGGCCATCCCTTCTGTTGGAAACTTTTCGACTTTCTTCTAGGTCTCTTTAAATTACGATAGCTTGAGAAGAATTTGATAACCATAAAGGTTAACAAAGATTCATATAGTCAATTGTAATCAGTTTAGTTCATGATGTTTCTCTAATCATTGTTTTCCATGTATCGCCTATGCAGCTACTTCAGATGGCATTCTATGTACTTTTTATTCATTCAAGTTAGAATATCAACAATGTAGCTTTCTAGACCTGTCTCTGGTGAACATAGGTTAGTATGACCAAACTGCGAACCTTTTTGCCTTCTCTTTGCTCCACTGTGTTGTGGGAAGCTAAATCTCTTTTATTGGTTTTCACTTACTAGCTTATAAGCAATTCTTAGAGCATCTGTGAGCTGATTGGGGGCAACCTCTAAGTTATCAGCTTGCTCCTTACTTTGGTCCCTATCTAGTTGGGACCAGGGTTTCAAATCGCGGTCGCGTTTTCGGTTATTTCGGATTTACCGTGATTGCGGCCGTCGCGGGTAACTCGGACGACGGCGAAACCGCTATATCGCGGCCGAAATCGCGGTCGCGGACCTGTTTTTGAAACCCTGGTTGGGACTTGGAGTTCATGTTTTGAGCTTCAAGTAGAGAACTTGGCATATTGCTCTTCGTTTTCATAACTGGTTCGATGGACATCTCTATTTCAAACGACTGTTTGTTCAATTTACTTGGAACAGTTTGTAACACTGCAATCTTTTCTGGCATTGAATTGATTCCCGACCTTGTCGATACCATGTCGGTTATAGATTGCGAGAAATTGAATCCCAGTTGGGTTCATTCTGATCTGATGTGAAGATGGACGATGATTCACGCCGTGCTCATCCTCTCTTCTCTATGGCAAACACCGCGTGTATGAGAAGAAATGTTTCTTTTATGTCCATTCAGCATGACTGGCATGAAACGTTTGTTCCTTGGTTCCACCGAGTAAAGAATTTACAGTTTGTTGCATGTTAATCACCATTGGCGATGGATTTTCAAGATCCAAATATGCAGCAGCTATTCTTTGTGGGTGAAAGAGCTTTAAACGAAGAGAAAGCATTACATGAGATGTTAACGTCACATTATATCTCTTCCATCAAAATCATCATAATCATATTTTAAAAGTTAGGGTAAGGTACGATAACAGTCACTAAACTATGTTAATATATCTTTTTGGTTATTAAAGTTTTGAAACTTACAAAACGATCATTAAATTTTTCAAATTGTTACAAAATACTCATTACACGTTATAATTTAAAGGTTATTTTATAAAAGTTTTATAAGTATCGTGATAACTTGAATTAAATTATTTTTAAAAATATGAGTATATAACTTGATTGAGATAATTTAAATTAAGGTTAAATACATGGATGATCACATGTTTGTGTTTTGTTCAATTTTTTGTTATCGATTTCAAAAAAAATAAGATATGATCACTTTCATTTTTATTTAATTAAGATATGATCACTTTTGTTTTTATTTAATTAAGAGGTGATCATTACGGGTCAACTATGATTAACAATTAACAGAATATGTGACGTGATAGTTGGTATAATCACACATTTGGTCCATGTTATTTATATATACTCTCAATTTAATCATATTTTTAAATAAATTTTAACATAAAATATATATTTTTAAATGAAAATAAAAATAAAAAATCTTTAAATTAAATTAATAATAAAATATATTTAATAAGTTAATACAAAAAATATTTTTTAAGTTACTATATATAAAATATTATGAATTTTAAGTATTTATACACTAAGGGTCTGTTTGTTTTACGTAAAATATTTTTCGGAAAACTTTTTCCTCATTTTTTAGTGTTCGATTGGAGGAAAACTAGTTGGTCAATGTAAAATATTTTCATAGTCAATAGAATTTCTTTTGTGTTTTCTGGAAAATGACTTACGTTATGATATTTCGTAAGTCATTTTAAAAATGATAATATTAAGTTTTATGATAAATAAAATTATTTATTATATTTAATATTTGTAATAAATAGTTTTTAAGAAATTCATCAACTAGTGGAAAATGGTTTACACAAGTACACAACTTCTTCCAAACACTGTAAAAATATTTTCTAGAAAATGTAATTCATTTACGGAAAACATTTTCCGGATCCGTAAAATATTTTCAATGAAACAAACAGACCCTAAGATACAGAATATATACATCAGTTGTTTACTTTAGACTAAGCAATGGTCTTGGCTTAATGGTTGGATACATGCATGTTTAGTTTCCTAAGTTACCAAGTTTTGAATCTTTTTTGCCACAATTTGTTTTCCTTTGTTTTATTTTAACCAAAGGGTGACACATGTCACTATTTAATTGATGAAAATAAATATATTAAATTAAAATAAAGTTAGTCCTCCAACCGAATGATGACACGTGATATGAAATGTGACATCATTCTATATGAGAATTAATATTTTTAATTTATTAAAAGTATGACTAAATTAAGAGAATATGTAAATAGCATAGACCAAATATGTGATTATATCAAAATATTTAACTGTTTTTAACAACAGTTAACTTGGAGTGATCACATCTTAATTAAATAAAAATGAAAGTGATCGTATCTTTTTTTTTTGAAATCAATGACTAAAAGTTGACAAAAATACAAACATAAGTAATCATTCGTATAGATAACTCTTTAAATAATTAAGTGATCTAATTGATAAAAACAAAATATTAATAATCATGTTGAAATATTCCTACAATTAAGTAATCATAATTCTTTATAGAGAAAATAACCTCAGTAACAAAAAAGCCTTATAATATACGATTTTAACCAAAATTCGTTGCGATAGTCTAAGTTCGCGTTGCGATTTATTCCAAGTTCATTGCGATAGTCGAAGTTCGTGTTACAATTTATTCCAAATTCGTTGCGATAGTCCAAGTTCGCGTTGCGATTTATTCCAAGTTTGTTGCGATAGTCCAAAATCGCAACGACGATATTGCATTTGTTTCTTAAGAATTTTCTCTAAAAAGATAGTATTCGCGCGGACGTGTCGAAGACATGTATTACCACGACCACGAGACGGCGGCGGCGGCGCGCGAGAGTTCCCCTTGTTCTCTATCACTCGACAAGGAAGTGGGAAAACCAAGCCTTAAATACCATTCCCAATAGTGTTTCCAATACTATGTGGGATTGAGCATTACCAACACTTGTTCCCAATACTATGTGGGATTGAGCCTTAAATAATGATATTATTTTTGAATGTTTTGTTTAAAATTGCAATAATTGCGATTGATTGTAAATTGACTTTTATTTATGACATATTTAATCGTATAATACTAATGCAATTGGTTGCTGATTCAGTTGTTTTAAGGTGCATGATTGTTAATTGTTTCATGAATAATCACATTGTATTGGAAACAAGTGTTGGTAATGCTCAATCTCACATAGTATTGGAAACACTATTGAGAATGATATTTAAGGCTTGGCTTTCCCACTTCCTTGTTGAGTGATAGAGAACAAGGGGATTCTCGCGCGCCGTCGCCGCCGCCGTCCGTCTCGTCTCGTCTCGTCTTGGATCGTGGTCGTGGTCGTGGTAATACGTGTCGCGCGAATACTATCTTTTTAGAGAAAATTCTTAAGAAACAAATGCAATACCACGAACTTGGACTATCGCAACGAATTTGGAATAAATCGCAAATTCGACTATCGCATTGCGATTTACAAGTTCGCATTGCGATTTACATATTCGCATTGTGATAGTCCAAGTTCGCATTGCGATAGTCGACTATCGCATTGCGATAGTCTAAGTTCGCATTGCGATAGTCCAAGTTCGCATTGCGATAGTCGACTATCGCATTGCGATAGTCCAAGTTCGCATTGTGATAGTCCAATTTCGCGTTGCGAATCTGGAAACTGATTTGCGATACCGGAGATCGCGTTGCGAATTATCGATCGCATTGCGATTTAGTTGGTCATTTTGGCAAATCCAAAAAAAGTTGGTTAAAATCGTATATTATAAGGCATTTTTGGTCAATAAGGTTATTTTCTCTTCTTTATATTAATGATATGTAGCTTAATTGTTATCATTAGGGGTGAACAAAACTCCACTCGATTCGAAAAAAACATATTTTTGACTCGACACGAATTAACTTCGAGTTGTAATTTCATGAACTCGACTCAACTCGTAAAAACTTCAAGTTCAAATCGAGTTGTAAAATATAACTCGAATTTTTAGTAGTTAGTGGATTGATTTTCAAGTTTATATCGAGTCTCTCAACTCTGTATAATATATTTATATCACATATGAAAAAAATATATATCTTTTGTATATAATTATAAAAAACTATTTAAATTAGAATAAAATAATATCATAATATTATAAATATATACAATTAAATTTAATCAGAAACTCAAAAATTCATCTCGAGTCAACTCTACTCAAATTTTATAAACTCGACTTGACTCGAAAAAATTTCAAATCCACTTTGAGTTGTAAAATAACACTCAGCAACTCGAATAACTTAAATTTTTTTATTCAAATTGACCCGACTTGATCGAATGTTCACTCATATTTATCATCTAATTTGATTAATAAAACTAAAAGATGAACTTAAATTTAAATATTTCCATAATTAGGTGGTGATTTATTCAACATTTAATAGAGGAAACTGAGGGGAAATAAAAATAAATTTTAAAAACCAGAAATTGTTATGTCTGAGCGCCCTTAATATGTAACTTAAAAGACTGCAAACAAAAGGTTTTTTTGGATTGAGAAAGGCGGCAAGCTGAGAAGGTGTGGCGTGAAGAAGAAGAAGAAGAAGAAGGAAAAGGAAAAGTGAAGAATGGGGGAGGGTTCAATGATTTGGAAGAGAGTTAAAGAAGAAGAAGACGAAAACAGCATACTTGAGCAAGAAGAAGCATTGGTGGCTTTGATAGAGCACCGCACCAAAGAAGTCCAACATCTTCGCCAACGTATCTCCTATTACCAATTTCAGGTTCTTCGTCTATTCTTCATCCATTCATTCCTGTCTTGATTGGGTTTCTTTTCCTGCGATTTTTGGGTTTTTTTAATTGTTCCATTTTGAATTTTTGGGTTTTTTTTCTTTTAATGTTCCATTTTTTATTTTTGGGTTTGTCATTTGAGAGTGTAGGAACTCTTATTCTTTGTTAAATCTTGTATGGGGTTTATGAGATTATCAGGTTGTTTAGTTGCAAACTATTACTGAACCCGTGGCGGATGAATGCACTGAAATCCGAATTTCTTTAGGTTAGTTGTCTATTTTACTGAGGGTGCCCCTGAAATTTTATTTGTGGCTCTATTATTAATTCATATGTATCAATTTTGAAAATATTATGAATCAACCACCGACTGAACTAGATGCATCCTAATAAAATGGCCCCTTCTTGTTGAGAAGTGTGTTGCAATTATGGTTTGTTTACTTCCTAGATTTATACTTGGTGCTTTCCTTTATTGTTTTATTCTTCCTGCTTGTTCGGAGCATAGCTTGCTGAAGCAGAGGAGAGGCTGCAAGATTCCCAATCTAAATTGGCTCACCTACGAGGCCGACATATCTTGTCATCGTCTAATGCTTCTTTGGCTACTAAAAGGGTTAAGGTAGAGCAGGGAATAGCCTCTCCCGAACATATAGATGGCAATTATGAAATCCTCCAATCAAGAATTAAACTTGTAATCCCGTCCGTAATTCCCAAGACTTCACAACCAATAAAACCAGAAGGGTTAGTTGCAAAATCCACCATTGCACTCGAAGAAACCAACGCCTCTAATAGAGCAGTGAAAGTAAAAGTTGAGGAATCCGATAGAAGCTCTACTGATATGGAGGTTGTTGAAGTTATAGATAGAGGGACTAAAAGGAAGTTAGGTAAGGAAATAACCTCTAACTTGATTCGTCACTTATTTTGATGTTGTATTTTACATTAACATTACGAATTTCTTCTATATAGAACAAAAGGAACACAAGGAATTGATAACCTTGGTTGAAAGCTGCTCATCGCCGACCTTAATTGGCCCCTATCCCAATTCAAGCAATATAATCCCCAGTCAACACAAAAGAAAGTTGAGCAGTATAAAACCAGAAGGGTTAGTTGCAAAAACCACCATTGCTCTCGAAGAAACTGCTGCCTCTAATAGGGCAGTGAAAGTAAAAGCAGAGGAATCCGACATAAGTTCTATTGATATGGAGGTAGTTGAAATTAAAGATAGAGGGACTGAAAGGAAGTTAGGTAAGGCAATAACCTCTAACTTGATTGATCACTTATTTTGATGTTGGATTTTACATTAACATTACAAATCTCCTCTATAGAACAAAAGGAGCACAAAGAATTGATTACCTTGGTAGAAAGCCGCACTTCGCCGACCTTAATTGGCCCCTATTCAAGCAATGTAATCCCCAGTCAACACAAAAGAAAGTTGAGAAGTCTTTCTATGTGTCCAGTGAATGATCAGCTTTTCGTAACCAGGTATGCTCTTTTGATAAGGAAAGTCAAAGATATGCCTTTGACCATGTGAAAACTTCTATTTTAGTAGTGCAATGGAAGACATGCTTCATTATTTCAATCGTTTAGCATTGGCAAATTCTATGGTTTCTTTATATTTTATGTTGTCTTATTTTTTCTAGTGTTTTGGACCATTTGCAGTGCTTTGGATGGATTAGTCAACTTGTGGAAAATTCAGGGTAGAGGGTAAGCTAAGGCAAAATTTTCGTATAATCTATCATCTAATTATATCATGTATGCATTATATGTTTATTTTATATCATTGTTCCTTTTTCCTCCCCTTGCATGTTATGATTTAGGCATCAATGCATCATCATAGGTGGCATGTCCATTAATTTTAAATACTTCTGTTTAGATGGCATTTAGGAGCATATTTTATATCAAGGTTCTTAACTTTGAGGTCGTGGGATCGATTCCTATGGATGGCATTTCATAATTTAGAGGCATCTTACAGAAGTTGCTCTCAACCTAGTGTTGAGGTCACCCTACTATCTTGCCTCCCCTTCCCTCATTACATATGGGAACAAGGGACGACTATTTTGAGATGACTATCCAGCTCAGTTGGTAGAGCACAAGATTTTTAACCTTGAGGTCGTGGGATCGAGTCCTATGGAGGGCATTTCATAATTCGGAGGTCTTCTACGGAAGCTGCTCTTAACCTGATGTTGGGGGCAGCCTACTATCTTACCTCCCCCTTACCTCATTACATATGGGAACAAGGGACAACCATTTTTTATATCAAATGTATCAATCAAGTACTAATGCTTTGTTCTTGTTTCTTACTTGTGTTGAACTTCAGGTCATCGGCTTCTTTGCTTAGTACCACAAATTGTGTATCATCGGGAGCAAGAAGATGGCCAGAAGATATAGCATGGCACCCGCACGGAAACAGCCTTTTTTCTGTATACACTGCAGATGCAGGTGATTCTCAGATATCAGTACTAAATCTTAACAAAAAGGGGGTAAGTATAATAGTTATAATTTATTGTTTTAAAAAAATCTTGTTGCTGTTACATTTAGAATTATATTCTTTGATGTATGGAGGCTCTGGAAGATCTATATAACCTGTAATTTTTTACTTAAAACAGTAGTTCTTCATTTTAGTAGGAGCCTATCTTAACTTAAGAAGTGGACTGTCATTTTGCTTGTATGTGCAATGCCAGAGACCCCATGTAACTTTCTTAGAGGATAAGCCTCACGTTAAAGGTATCATAAACAACATAGCATTCATGCCCTGGAAACAAACTTGTTTTGGCACCGGTGGCAGCGATCATGCGGTGGTGCTTTGGAGCGAGAGATATGAGAACGTATGGAAACCAAAGACCTTACATAGGAATCTACATTCTTCTGCTGTCATGGGAGTTGCAGGAATGCAGCAAAAACAGATTGTACTGTCTGCCGGGGCTGATAAAAGAATTATCGGTTTTGATGTGGTTACGGGAAGTGCAGATTTCAAGCATCAAATGGAAAGTAAATGCATGAGTGTTCTACCAAATCCTTGTGACTTCAATCTATTCATGGTCCAAACCGGGTAACGAACATCTATTCTGCAACCAGTAAACTTCTTTATGTTTGTCGAGTAATTAATTCCTATACCTTTTTTTTAATAAGAATTCCTATACCTTTTGAATATAAGTGTTTTACAGACAGTAAATTGCTTGGGTTTCTCTCTAGTCTATTAAAACCTTCAGATAAACAGCGATGAACTGAATTCAAAAGACTTAACGCCATATTTTTAGAACCTTCATTTGGGATATCTGGGCTGGACGCATTCCCACATCTGGAACTTATAGCCAAATCCGAGTAACAAAATAGTATTCTGTTCCAAGATTCTAATGAGTTAACATATAACAGGACCTTAACTGGCAGATTCCAAAGTATATTTTAACATCACTTTCCTAGATTTGCTAGCATAGTTAGGACATGATTTATAGGTAAGTTGAGTATGGTGACAATTTTGGATTGTTTGAGGTTCTTCCTATCAGATGACATGCTAGTTCAAGACTTGGGATTACTAGGCAATTTTGATGTTATTCTGATTCTCTATTTTCGTGAAGAACCCGTATCCAGAACCCATGTACGTCAAATTTTCAGACATAGGCAATGCGATTTGACTCTACTTTACCCTTAGATTGTTGCCTTTTTGGTGTAACTTGTGAGGCACATGTTATTAAAAGAGTGTTATAACTTTTATCTTCCCATTGAAGTTTTAGACACTGTGATGTATCTTTTTGCAGGGTCCATGAAAGGCAGATCCGGCTGTACGATGTTAGAGCGATGTATGCCGAACTGCATTCATTAGGGTGGAAGCAAGAAAGCAGTGAATCTCATTCGGCTCTTATAAATCAAGCTTGGTCTCCTGATGGTTTATACCTCTCATCTGGTTCGGCTGACCCTGTGATTCACATTTTCGACATTAGGTATAATGCGTGCAGGCCATCGCAGTCGATCCGAGCTCACCAGAAGCGAGTGTTTAAAGCTGTATGGCATAACTCTTTACCACTTCTTATTTCCATATCTTCTGATCTTCAAATTGGACTGCACAAAGAGTAGGAAGAGTTCCCTTTTAGTAACTGACCGTTCATTTGTTCTCCTTTGAGAGAAACCTTCACATTTCCTCGATTTGATCTGTTACTGGTTGAACAGTTCTAAAGCTCGAGGATTTTTGAAAATGTGCGAATTCGGATTTCTTTGAGAAATCCGATTTTGAAAGAGGAATGAAATCGTTATTGATTATCTGAGGCTAGGTATGATTGAGCACTATAAAATCACAAGAAAGATTTTGGATCATAAACAAATATTAATATATTATTTGATACTTGAATTTAACTTCAAAATTCGAATTGGTAGTTGTGCTTCTAATGACGCCTTCATTCTTTTATCCAATTTTAGATACTCTTTTGAGACGAAAAGAAAAGTACTCATTGAAGTAAAAAGCTAATTTTAGACACCAGTTAGTATAATGATTTTTTAATGTATTATATGGTATTTAGTGGCAAAAGCACCTCAATAATTGTGTGGCAAAAAATTCCTTAAATAATAATTATCGGAGTTTATTTTTTCAAATAAGATGGTATTTATTGTAGATTAGGGAAGTCGCATGGACTACAGTGTTTTATTGAATATGACTGAATGACATGGTGTCTTCTCAAGTATGACTATGGTTAGCTTTACACAGTGGTGATATCGTTGGTGTTGTTCTTGAGTTGTCCAAGGAGCTGGTTGGAGACGGGTTGCTTTTATGAGTCTAACGAAGATGGTGAACTAACTTAGGTTGTTGTTGTAGAATGCGTGAAAGTTAGTGGACACTATTAATGTAGTTTGGGAAGATGAAGAAGACAATTACATAAACAAATGCGAGAAGTTGTCGTGTTTTCCATGCATCTTTTGTCGTGTTTTCCATGCATCTTTTGAGAGGACATATCTTTTGAGAAAATAATACGTTTGATAAGAGGCTTCTTCAAAATGATTGACAATCAACATAACTTTCAGTTGACATTATAACATTCACTCTGTTTGAGAAAAAAAAAGACAAAGGGTTAAGTAATGAATGATTATTTATGTTTGTGGTTCACTTTTGCTCACTAATTTCAAAAAAGCATAAGATAAGATCACTTTCGTTTTTATTTAATTAAGATGTGGTCACTTCGTTTTGTTTAATTAAAATGTGGTCGTCACGGGTTAATTGCTGTTAACAAATAACAAAATATGTTACGTGATAGTTGATATAATCACACCTTTAATCCACGTTATTTACATATTCTCTTAATTTAGTTCTAAATTGAATAAGATTAAAATGCAATTGATGTATAATATAAGGACTTCTATGATATATTTTCTCTCATTTGGATGGTATGTTGGTATTAATCTCATCTCACCCTTTTTCATCATTTACTTGATTCTCATCTCACTAATTTTCCCCATTATGATAAGGATTCCTATGCTCAAATGATGTTTTGACCACTAAATTATTAATTATTATAAAATGGTTATTAAATTTACTAAATTGTTATAAAATAGTCATTACAACGTTATAATAATTGTAAAAGTTCAATAAATTTAATGATATTTTGATAAAATTTAATGATTATCTCAACCTCTCTCCCCGACTGTCCATCACCCTTCTCTCGAACCTCTCTACTTCGTTCATGTCCCTCAACGATCTCCACTCTGAGCTCACTCTAAAAGACTGCTTGATCTTGTTCGATGACACCCTGACTCGACTCAAGGACTCGGTGTCTTCAAAGGAGAAGATCAGTGATATCCAGACTTGGTGATAATGGGATGGACCACTGGTGATGTAGTCTCTTATTAATAGTTTGGCCATTGTTGCTAAAATGCAGACTCCATGTACAAGAATTTGGTCTCACCATGCACTGAAATTCACAAGTTGTGTCTCAAAGTTCAACTGATTGAAAAAAATGGCTTCTTCGAGTGAATTCAGACCATATATCCGTATTTAACAGCTACACCCGAGTAGTTTTACTTCGAACCGATGATTATAGTTGGTTTCTATAAGCATTGGGTGAACCCTTTTGAATCAATTTAACTGTGTCCAGGTTTCATGCGAATACATCTGATCAAAGCCTGCGACTATGGAACTTTAGGCAAAACATAAAAGAACAAAAGCAATGATACCAAAAGAGTCTCGTTCGTGAGTTGTTGATTTCCTTTCTTTTAGGTGATTCGTATGCTTATCATTCATATTACTCTATTTGATATTTGGAAACCATCAATTTTGAGTATAACAGTGGTTTCACGCTTGGGATAACACCTCGAGCGTTGTGACCCAAGTGGGGGTATTAATGTGATTGAACATTGGTACAATCCTCAGATTTGGGTCCATGGTGGCTGTTCTCTGGCCTGTCTGTTCCAAGCGAGGAGTTGGGCTGCGGGTCGGGTCCCTTAGCCCCTAGAGTGGAACGCACGTGAGACTGGTTTCACATACCGGAAATATTATCACGTACAATAACATATTAGGTAGCTCTTATATAATGTAATAGGTATCGCTTATATTGACCTATTTTCGAAGTAAACCGGTATATTTATACAGGTAACATTGTAAATTTACCTATTACATTATAATTATCGGTTTCGATGTTTTTTGGATCGATACAATTTTAACTGTATCGACACTTTATGCTTGCACCTCGTTGGACATTCATATTTCATTCTGGAAAAAAGTATCGACACAAACTAAAAACGTGTCGCTACATTATTTAGACATATTTTCTCATAAAACCGGTATATTTATACCGGGTACATTGTAAATTTACCTATCACATTGTAATTTTCGTTTCGATGTTTTTGGGATCGATACAATTTTAAATGTATTGACATTTTATTCTTGCACCTCGTTGGGCATTCATTATGGACAAAATGTATCGACATAAATTTAACAAGTGTCGATACTTTATGCTGACCTATTTTCTCATAAAACCGGTATATTTATATCAGTTACATTGTAAATTTACCTATTACATTATAATTATCGGTTTCGATGTTTTTAGGATCGATACTTTTAATAAATGTATCGACACTTTATGCGTGCACCTCGTTTGGGCATTCATTCTGGACAATAAGTATCGACACAAATTTCACAAGTGTCGATACATTATGTTAACCTGTTTTCTAATTAATCAGTATATTTATACCGGTTACATTGTTAATTTACCTATTACATTATAATTATTGGTTTTGATGTTTTTTGGTCGATACTTGTAGAAAATGTATCGACACATATTTAGGTAGTTATTGTACATACCTAAATATGTACTGCGAATTTAATGTTGTACCCACTCTTTAACTACCACTACCAATACCACATCCTATTAAAAACACGACTGAAACATGTTCAATGAACATTTACTTACATCTCCATCAACTCCAGGACCACTAAACTTGTACAACAAAATTTTTGCCATGGATCATACTGATGCAGACAATGCTAAGTCAACCGAGGAATGCCATTAAGTACATAATGTTGATGAATCTGACAGATTGGTTGGTCTGCTCTTCTCTTCATGTGATGAAGCTTGGTACTTTTACAAGAGATTCGCACGGGAACATGAGTTTTGTGCACGTAAGGGAACAACACGGCTTGACATTGAAGGGAATGTGAAGACATAAGAATTTTGTTGTTCCAAAGAAGGGTTTCGAGTATCAAAAGTGAATATTGTTGATCGTCAACGTGCTCATACGCCGGTCACAAGAACAGGATGTAAGGCTAGAGTCGTAGTTACAGCAACAAATACAAACAATCACTAGGTTATAAGTAAGTCTTATCAGAAACATAATCATGCATTGTGCACACCTACTATGACACCATTTATGCGTTATAATAGAGCTGTAAGTAAGGTCGATATCGATGAGGCAACAACATTGAAAGAGGCAGGGGGTTATCATAATGTTGGATTTACACAAGTACTGAATCTCTTCCTCAATCCGGTACATGATGATTGTCGATGGGGATGTGAATGTGCTTATTACCTATTTTGATTATAAGAAACATGATGATCCCGGGTTTTTTATGACATACTCGGTAGACGAATCAGGGGCATTGCATAATCTTATTTGGTCGGATTCTATATCAAGATCGGATTACACATGCTTCAGTGATGTAATTGCGTTTGACACAACGTACAAAGATAATTTGTATGGTCGACCAATTATGCCTATTGTCGGTGTCAATCATCACCATAACACAGTTGTGTTTGCCACTATCATTATCGCTGACGAGAAGTCTCAATCTTTCGAGTGGGTGCTACAGAATTGTTTAGAAGCCATGATGAATAAATCACCTATTTCAGTTGTCACCGATGAGGATAGGGCAATGCAGAGGGCTATCAAATCTGTTATCCCTTATTCTAAGCATATATTATGTTCTTGGCATCTTTCTCGCAATGCACAAGCTAACATTGGTGACCCAAAATTTACAGCAGCATTCTCAAAATGCATGGCTTCCTGGTGGACAACCGAGGAATTTGATATTCAATGGCGTTCGGTTGTTTCAGAATTCAACGTCGAAAATTATCCATGGGTGATTGAAAAGGGAAATACTCGGTACTTATGGGCACAAGCAAATCTAACCGGTCATTTCTTTGCCAACATTCGCTCAACACAAAGGTGTAAGTCTATGAATGCTTCACTAGCGATTGCACTGAAACACAAGAAGACATATTTAGATGTTGTTCGTCTAATTGAAGATGGAATTAGTAGAATGCGTATGAACGAATTGAAAGCGGATTACTTAAGTTCCCATACGAAGCCCTTCCAGATCACAAAACTGGTCGACCTTGAAAGCCATGCTGCTGAGATTTTTACCCGCGAATCTTTTCGTGCATTCCAAGATGAACTTCTACGGGAGACATTGTACTGGATTGAGGAAGAGATTCAGTCCTTATCAGATAAATGTCAACATTATATTTTGTCAAAGTACAAAGAAAAAATAGGACATTTAAAATTAGTTTTGATTCTTGTACGGAAACCCTAATTTGCTTCTGCAAAAAATTCAAGACCGTTGGACTTCTGTGTCACCATCAACTTCACATTTTGAAGCACTTGGATTACACATATTTTCCTGGGAATTTGATTCAAAGTTGGTGGACTAAGGATGCGAAGGCTTCTGCTCCCAGTTATGTTGACTTGAATGTGTCTCCAGAAGTGATGCAAATAGCAAGGTTCGCTGCTCTACGTTCAACATCAAGTAGGTTATGCTACATTGCATCAAAGATAGA